GATGGTAACCTTGATTATTTTTTTTAAAAAAGATTAAAATATAGTCATTTCAAACTGTGGCAACTGAGAAAATTAAACAAAAGAACCTAATTTGTGCAAGGTAGGCCTAAAATAAAAGGCCCCCATGGGTATGAATTGCTTTCCATTCTATTGAAAGCCTTCTGTGTTTTCAGACATGGCAACAAAGAGGTAGTCACTGGGTCCCCATACACACACGTTTTTATAACACATCACACCCAGCAAACTGTGCTACTTGTCAGCAGCAAAATGACCCCGGACAAAGCCCACCACTGGTGGATCAGGATTAACTCTCTATTCTGGGAGCAAGAATATCATTCAGTATCTTTTGAGTAACTTTAATGCGCAAACCAGTAGTTTGCACAAACTGAAGTCGTCCACTTGCCCACAAAACAGGTAGCAAGTGAGCAGGGGTGGTACAGACTTTCCCACAGTCCTTTATCAGTATGTCAGTGTTGCGACCTCAAAGAGCAAGGACTAAGAGTGAGAGAGAATTAGCCAGTCAGTGCACCCCATTTAATCCTTGGTGCTGTTTTGAAGATTGCCAGAAAAGACACCCATTGGAGACAATTCTGATGTTTGTTTTATTGTTGGAAGAATGGCTTTTCACCCCCAAAAAAGGATCGGGACAATAGACTATATGCTTTAAATTCTGTTATGGGTTCTGTTTTATGAGTTAGGGTAAAAGAGTCTCTTTAATGTTAATTCTCATGGGAGATTTTTAAAGATCCATAGGAAAAAATAGCCCTTAGTATTTAACTAGATTATGGATAAATATACCAGTCTTAATGTAATATTTTTATGTATCTAGTTTATAGCGGCTAGGTAACACATATCTAGGTTTTTGCATTATAGAGACTATTAAAGGGATATACAAATACATTTAAGCAAAATATTCCTAATCATAAAATGTCAGTCTATTTTTTATGTCATTGTCCTTTGCTTTTAAAAGCACTGTGATCAAGCTGTACAAGCACCATGGATCCCCAGAGTCATAGCCACTGGAAAAGTCTTCGCTTCCCTTCCTTCTTTATGTTCTAGAGTTATAGAATGACATGCCTCCTTCTCATTGCTCCTGTTGCACCCTTCACTTACCTTTATTATGGTCCTTACAGCTCTGCATCATAATTGTGTATTTACATGTCCTCGAAACTGTGCATGCCTTGAGAGCTAGACTATGTCTTAATGATACTTAAAATTCTGGGGTGAGCAGAGCAGCCACTCAATAAGTAATGAATGCTTCAAAAAGCATTCCTATTTCTCTCTAGAAAATTGTCAACATGGAAAATTGCCGTGTCCTCAAGGAACACTGATTTCTTTCCTAGCTGTCATGGCGGTTAAAGCAATCAACCTCACAGCACCCTGCCCTCACCCGGCACTGCCACCATTTCTATTTTCTATCTGAACCGAATTCTCCAGTTTCTATCATTTCTAAGGAGAAGGATTAACTCTTTTTAGCCAAAATAATGGGGCTTCAGGAAGAGCCAGTTGATACCCACAGGTCTGTTTTAGTCTTGTGACAAAAATGAGTGAGAGGGAGACAAGAGATCATATAATCTGTGTTCGCATATATTTAGGCTCTAAAAAGGTATCAGAAGCAAAATACTCTTCAATTTTGGATGCTGCCTTCATTCTTTGCACTTCTAGCCACACAGTATTGAACGAAAACTATACGGAAAACTGCTTTGTATCACTGTCTGAAACTTTGCAGAATATAGTGCACTTTAGAGACATCAACTTCATCCTAGAGTCAACCCCACAACCCAGGTACTCTCAGCAAGCAGAGCAGCCTATCATAGGGCCTAAATGGAGTGATAAAAGGATAAAAGGAAGGAATAATTAAGGAGATAATTAATGGTTAGGTCCATCACTAGTATTTCTCTGATTGGTTTTGTTTGTTTAAGTGGCAGATAATCAAGCCTGCAAAATTTAAGTCTGAAAAGCCAGTCATTTAAAACACTATTTAGCAAACCAGATAAGCATTTTAACTATGTGTAGTCACTTTGTAAAAATACAACCGTATTCCTTGCTTTTTAGTGGCAAAACTTTACAGAATTTGATGTTATACATTTACTATTATTTTGATTGAAATTACTGTTAATTTTTAATTGCCCTTGAATCATGCAGTGACAGGAAGATACTTCCTAAATAAGTCAAACATAAAATAGTGTGGAAAGACCTGATGTTGGCATCTGTTACTGATAACTGTAAAAACATAACTTTTCAGAAGGAAAAGATGAATAGAAAGTAATCGTAAATTGCCTGCCCTCTCCATAACCTACACTTTGCTCTTTGTCAGTTCTAGAGATAACTAGTCTGAGCACCTTGTTGAATGCTTGTTCTCCTTGGGAAAAAAAAAATGACTGGCTTGGCTAAGCTCAATGAATTGTTTTTCAGCATCAAATAATAATATGAAGATATATTAGATGATTAAATATTGACATCTACAAATCCTCATGATTCTCCTTTCAAAATGTAGCCAGAATCTAACGATGTCCCACCACCTAGATTATTGCAATTGCCTCCTGGCTCTTCTTCCTACCCCTCCATTGTCCTTTCTCTACCTTATTTTCCAAATAGCCACCATCAGAGCATGTCACTCCTCAATCAAATCTTTCAAAACCTCCCCGCTTAATGAGAGTTAAAGCCAAGTTTTTTCAGAGACCTGCCACTCTTTTCAGACCTCTCTGTGTCACCTACTACTGCCTCTCTAATCCCCTGCCCATTCGATCTCCCGAAAACCTTCCTCCGGCCACACTGGCTTCCTGGATATTCCTGGAAATGCCTGGCTCAGGCACTTCTCTGATCTTTCCACAGACAGTTTCTCTGGGTCATCCAAGGCTCACCTCCTTCATTTCTTTGCCTGCATGTCACTATCTTCACACAACTTTCCCTGCAGCCCTTTTAAAAATTGCATATACATACCAACACTCCCTATTACCTTTCCCATCTTTATTTTTCCCCGTAGTATTTAAGGTACTATAAAATATATTTATTGTCTGTCTGCTTCTTCAATGTAAATTCCATGAAGTAAGGGATTTTTAAAAAATTGTTTAAATTCACTGCTGTTTCCCCAACAAATAAGAACACTGCCTGGTACATGGTAAGTAATAAATATTTGTCAGTTGAGTGAACCAACCGTCAAAACATTACCCAGCTTTTCCTATGTCTGTGACCTACTAACTACCTACGACGTGGCACAGTTATTTTGAAAGGTGTTACCTAGTATCTTACATTTAACTGTATTTGGAGAACCATTTGAACCTGCCTGTTTATGCTTACATCCGAATTCTACGGGAAAAGATAAAGTTGCTGATGTGCCAAATAAAACCTATTGCAATGTGTTTTAATGCACAAAATATTTCTTTTTGAACACTATCTTTCATGCGGTGTGTGAGTTGGAAGTGAGGGTGGTAACATGTAGGCAAGAGGACAAAGAAGATTGGAGGAAAAAAGATAATACCGACCCTCACCCAGATGTACAGTTTTCACCCGACCTGTAAGAGCCGGTGCTCTTGTAGTGCTCTATTCTTTATTTAAAATTATTCTCAAGACCCAAAATTCAGAAGTTAAATTTCTGAATTTTGGGTCTTGTTAAATTATGCAGTTATCCTGGGGTATATGAGGCCACTGAAGTAACACACACATATTAAATCTCTTTCTTAATATAAAGTTAATAAATTAAAGGTGAGTCAAAGTTTGAACAGCTCATTTTAAGAATTTCAATATGGAAAGTAAATACACTGCTGTATGGGAATACATGGCTTATCTGTCACTGATAGCTAATGAATTCCTTCCCATTAAAATTTAATTGAAAATCTTCAATGATATTTAAGCTTTTGCAGAAGTGTAAACTACTGTGACTACAATTCACAATGCATTTAAAACAATTATTCTTTATCATTAAAGTTAATAATATGCACATTAACCTCTTATGTAGTCTAAATCAATATTGTGGTTTAAAAGATATGACCTCTGGACAGCTTTGTCTAAATATTGATTTCATTGTCATTTGTATAAGGTATCAAACAAATTACATGCTGCACTAATATCATTAATGCTGCCCCATAGAGCCTCTGACTTTATGGGTTCTTATAATACAGGGCATAACATTACAAAAATATTGAGGACTTCACAAAATGTAATTGCCTAAAGGATGAGATTTGAGTATGGCAGGGCAGAGTTGCTGTACATAGACTATAACTTCCAAATCCTTTATTTTCAGTGAACAGAAAAAAAAAAAGATTCTGCTCTTTAACATGCATATTAGTTGTTGATGTTTAGTTTCAAATGGTAGTTTTTTTCTGCCTCAGAGGGTCTGATTTACCTTCTTGTGATGTCATAGATATCTCAGAAGAAAGTAAGTCAATCTTGGTCCAATTAAAATATTATAATTCTGCAGTATAGTAGTTTTTCCAAAATAAACATGATTAGAAATTCCTGTTACAAGTTAATAGTGAATCAGATGAGTTGAAAAAAATATATGCCTTAGAGGAAATGGGCTGAACTTTTCAGATGGTTCTTACAGATTTCAGTAAAAACCGATTTAGAGATGGACATGCATCACATTCTCCATCATAATTGCCAGTTATAGAATTATTTTTGTTTTAAAAAATTGCAAATTGAAGTGCCAGCTATATAATTTTGTCTCTTTTATTTTTTTCAGGCTCTAAATTGCTATGAATCATAACAATTGCTAACATCAACCAGTTACATCTAGCTCTATTTTGATGGTGGTTTCTTTTTTTAATTTTTAAAATTGTACTTCACTTTTTTGTTTACTATAAAACTTTTTGCAAAAGAGATATGGTCATTATCTTGACACTGTGAACTGTGGGTGCCATTTACGCTAAAAATATTTACTGAAAATCTCTTGTAGGAAAAAGTGACCCATTTTGTGTGGTAGAACTGAACAACGATAGACTGTTAACACATACTGTCTACAAAAACCTCAATCCTGAGTGGAACAAAGTCTTCACATTGTAAGTAGGCATTGCTTTGGGCTCTGAATCCAAAACTGTTAAATTCGATTTGTTTTTGAGGGTTGTTTTTTTAAATGCGTGTTTTTATTCTTAACTGATTCACAACTCAACGCGTCTGGCCTGCCTGTGCTAGCAACAATGAATTTTCCTCCTACCTTCCTGAAAGTGAAACCTGGGGGAAAGGGTATGGCGTTTTTCTTTGTTTTCACAGACATTTTTTAAAACTGTGCTTTTATATGATTTGGCTAAGGATTTTGTTCCCATTAACTAAATCGCCATAGTGCTTCTTCCTTTTATACTTTCTATTGAAATTCTTCCCAATTGCATTGACACCAAGGAAGACAAAGCTCTATTTGTTCCATTGCTGAAATCAGCAAACAATCCAGTCTCGAATTAGGCAGATGCTTTAGTTTTGGTTCTTTTCATTTTAGCACAATGAGAATATTAAGTATTGTCCTAGATACCAAAACACCCTTTGAGTTAATTTTCCTTTTGTTTTAAAAAGTTTGTAAATCTTTTCAATCATATACTGTAAAAACTGCCAATGCTACACTATAGTAACTCCTATGTTCGGTTTTTTAAAGGGGGCTTTTGAAATGAACTCTGAACAAAGGAGAATTCTCCAAACAGAAGTACTTCTTTAAAGTTTTGTAACATACTTCTATTTTTTTGTATATGAAAAACTGTGAAATTCTTCATTAATTTATTATGTCTCTGCTTAAGAGCCGGTAACTAATCAGCTTTAACTTTCCGACCAATGTATTTTTAAGGAATTCCACATTTTTGTAAGAGATAAAAGCCTGGTCAGGAGACTTGTACTCCTGAGAAGATTGCAGGGAGTATTTTTCTCTGGAATGCATAATTGAATGAATAGGTTTGATTATTATCAAAGCCATTAATTGATTGTGCCCTGATAAAGCCTCTCCTCTCATGTGGTTGCAATTTTTCAGTAATGAATATATTCACTTTATTGTTTCCTCTTAATTCATGTTTTCTTGGTAAACAGTTTGATCAAAGAATAAATGCTGTCAACAATTTGCACTTACTTTCCAGAAACAAAAATATGAAGAGCTCACACAGTTGTTTATTAACATATGTTTTCTTTGGAACATAATGGAACACTACTTAATTTCTAAACTCCAGGGTGGTACAATAACTATATGTTACATTTTCTCCATTCTGTTTTCTGTGCTTGTGAATTTTTACTATAAATCTAACATAAACTAAGTCAATGATTTGGTGAGAGCTATAAACAAACAAGAGATGTCCTATTATTATAAAAAAGAATGATTATATAAAATATACTGTAATTCTTGTTGATATCAAATCTGGTAGTGTTTTATGTGAGGGTAATGAAAAGGTATGAATTGTGGTAATTAGAAGAAAAAGTCTAAAACCTACTGGTGCTACTTCTTGATTTTTTAAATAACTTATTCTGTGCCCATTCAGATGGGAAATTATATTTCATTAAAAAAGGATAACTTGAAATTACAACGGTGTTTAAAGTTACAGATAATAGAACCATCACTGTGGTTGACTTAGGTGCATTATGGGAAATTCTGTCAGATACCAAGCTACCTTGTATATGTGTGTATGCAAATAACATGCAAACACACACACAAAATCAGCTGGAGCTATCTAAATTTTCAAAACCATTCTTGTTCCTGTTTCCCACTGATGAAATCTTTTTTTTCTTACATATATTTATTATGCAGCAACATTAAAGATATCCATTCAGTTCTTGAAGTGACAGTTTATGATGAAGATCGGGATCGAAGTGCTGACTTTCTGGGCAAAGTTGCTATACCATTGCTGTCTGTAAGTTTTATTCACCTGACACACTGTTCTGTGTTGCTTTTCCTCATGGAAAAAAAAAAAAAAAGAAAAGAAAACTCTTAGCTCTGTGTCTGTCATTTCTCAACCAAGGTCTGTAATAAGAACACTAAAAATTTTAACATACTCAATTCACGGCCATGTTGAATCCCATGATAGTTAATTTTTCCTGACAGACTTGATCCTGGTAATGAACAGGTACTTGTCAGAATTGCCACAGTTGTTTTGGGTTCTCTGTCAGTTTCAGCAGCTGGGGGTCAAAGGTCACTGAGGGAGTGTATTCAGTGGAGACCGCGAGACAGACGGCTGTCATGTCCTTTTCCCGCAGATTCAAAATGGTGAACAGAAAGCCTACGTCTTGAAAAACAAGCAGCTGACAGGGCCAACAAAGGGGGTCATCTATCTTGAAATAGATGTGATTTTTAATGCTGTAAGTCTTAACTTTGGCTTTTTTGTACTGCTAAAGAGTTCAGTTTCATGAAAGCTTTTGTTCCTGATTTGTAGAGAATTTCTGTCATTCCTCATTTTCTCTAAACCTTGATGTATCCTGGAGAATACGCTTCTGCCACTGCCTGGCACACCCACACTTTCTGCTCTAGTTGGCGACTGCTGCTGCGGTTGTGTTCTGGCCGCTGCCTGCCGGCATAAGAAAGGGAAGTGCATGCATGTGCAACTGTATACATTTATATTTTATGAGCACAGCAGCCAGGACTTTGAAACTTTAGAGATTATTGCAAATTGAACCGCGTGAAAAACTTGTAAACATTTGTAATATATTAATCCATAACAGACACATATGTTGATGTATAGGTGAAAGCCAGCTTACGAACATTAATACCCAAAGAACAGAAGTACATTGAAGAGGAAAACAGACTCTCTAAACAGGTAAAAAAAAAAAAAAAAGCAAGAAAAGATTAATCCCTCTGGGAAGACCTGATTAGATCTGTAAAACATCTAAGTAAATTTAAATAAACTTTAAAGGTATGGAGGGGGGAAGACTAGAATTTTTGATCATCTACTTATTGAAAATGGCGCTTTCTTTTATTCTTTCTTATTCTCTCTTCCTTCCTTTCTTTAAAAGATCAAACAAGGACAATACCAAACTAATAAATTGGATGGGGGTGGTCAGAAAGGAAAGGGGATATGATAGGTGATGCATATAATGGATATGTATTAATATGTTAGCAAAAGAATGATCATTTTGAACATAAATTGCAATTTGATTGCCATGGAATGTGTAAAAAATGAGAACACCAAAAGCTGAGGTTCAAATATATGTCCAGACCACCCACAGGTATGATGCAGGTGTGTGTAAAGCGAGCCCAGCATAAGCTCTTCCCTCTAATCCAGATTCGAGGGGGCTCCATCTTCTAAGGGAAACATTACTGCTAATTAGATTTTAACTATGATCTTTCAGAAGTAAACTTTTATTATTTTTAGCTAAGAAAGTTAGAATCAGGAAATCTGATTTTTCTGTCCTGAAGGAAATTTAAGTTGAGCTTGATGTCTATTGCTTATCATTTTTAATTGGGCTTAATATCAAGTTTTTAAAAAGTGCTAAACCACCCCTTTTAAAAAACATTTACATCCAATTCACAGAGCAAAACTAAAATGTATTTGTTACAGCTAAAAAGTTCACTAAACATATTTGTGCCTTGAAATATTTCATAATTTTTATAATATTAGAAGCCTAAATATATTTTTTCTTTTAATCTAATAAATTCAGCAAAACAATGGAGTCTTTGGTTGTTTAAAGGCAGTATAGGAGTTACAAATGCAATATCTCAGCAGAAATGTAAATAAGATTTCTTCACAATTATACATAAAAGTAATAAAAGTAGTTCTTAATGTAAAGTGATGGGGCAAAGAAGGAAAAGTAATAGACAGGCTCTACTTTGCCATCGAGGAATTTCAATTTTAGCAACTTGTCAGAGCTGGCATGCACATCCATGTGTCTATATTTACACACGTATATATATTTTCCATATGACTTCAGTAAACTTTGATAACTACTTCTTTAAAATATCATATCAGCATTGAAGTATATTTGAAAATAGCAAAATATTAACTTGCAGACATACAATTATTCTAATTATTAATATAGCTATGGTATGTTTGAATCATCAAATTGTACATGAGCTATTCTTTTTTACAGTTGTAGTCATGCCTTAATTTTAAATTTTAATTTCTGATTATATCAATTTTTATATACTTGTTTTAATAAGAGATTTTGTAAAGTACTTGGTTACTATACATTTTTCCTTACTTTTAAAATTATGAAAAAAATAATTAGAAAATATAGGTTAAATTTATTGTGGTAGAGATATAGATTAGATAGATGATAGATAGATAGATAGATAGATAGAATAATAGAATGATAGTAAGAATGGAAGGAATTCCACTAAAATGGTGAAAAAATTTTGTTGTCTATAAGAAAGCAATTCTGGATAGGTTTTTCTGTCAGACCCTAAATAAACACATTCCACCTTCACTTTGAAATATCTTGAAATTAAACCATTCTATGAATCTTAAAACCACAATAAGATTTAAGAGTTTAAAATTAATAAAGGTACATAGTATGTAAGTGGAAAAAAATTAGTCTGTCAGAAATTTCTTTTTCTTGTGAACAAAGGTAGTTCAACCTACATGTTAACATTACTTTTAAAATTATATTTAGTTAAAAAAGCAGTTCTTTCCACTTTCTCAGAAATAAATTATTTAACTTGTGAGCCAAATTGTTTGGTATGTTCTTGTAACTTTACTAACTTCCTGAATCCTTGTAAGTCACAATAAGCTTGAAGAATTTTGCAGTATATCTGATGGTTTTTAGTCTTGCAAATTATAATAATATTTTCATTTTCCTTACAGCTGCTACTAAGAAACTTTATCAGAATGAAACGTTGTGTTATGGTGCTGGTAAATGCTGCGTACTACGTTAATAGTTGCTTTGATTGGGATTCACCCCCAAGGAGTCTCGCTGCTTTTGTGGTATGATCATACTGTATTACTTACATTGTTATTCATTAAATTCAGTAATCATAGCTGCATGTTTCTGTGGCTATAGTAACAGTTATGTTGATGTGGCCATTTTAAAACTCCTATTTTAAGACTTGACTGGACAGATTTGCCGTGGGCAGGAACCTGATGGATTGTACAAGGTCTGAGTCTAAGAATACATTTTCCCCCCTCAGATTTCCGGAACGCAAGACATCTCAGCCAATGTATCATTTTCTCTGTGACAGTTAAAAAGTAAAATTTTACATATTGCATAATTCCAAACCCCAATAGGACAGCCAAGAAAAGTCCTCCATGTGAAAAATAATAATAGTAATAATCTTGACCATCCTCAATTTGATTTTATTTGTTCTATGGTTATTTTTTTTCAAGATATGAAAATCATTGGTAGCAGAATGCTATAATGCTGCTTGGTTATGCTTTAACATGTGATTCAATTGGAAGTGGATATGACCTATTTAAGAGATGTTTTATTATTTCTGAGATTCTAGCTTTTAAAAAAGTCACAAGTGAGAATTCGATGGATCCAGAAAGTCCTTTAATATGTTCATCTTGTGGCCTTTTACTTTGATTATTTAAAAACTGCTGATGAGACCAACTGGCAGAGCTAGAAAATCCAAAAGAATACTTTGCTCTGAGCTTTAGCTGGGATTTTCTTCTCTCACATTATTTTGGCTTATTCAGGATTTCAGTCTGAAATTTAAGTAGAGTCGTTCTTTTGAAATCCTTTATTTTATTTTCATGTTTGTTCAAATATGAGTACCTTATGCTTCCTTATAGTTGCCAGTTTAGCAGAATACAATTTTATTATGGGGGCTTACAAGAAGAGGCTTAATTATAGTAACAAATCAACATTTTAGTATTACCATTCAAATGAGTGTATGCACATCTGTTTAGTACTTTGAGCTCTGTCTTCCTCTCAGGCCTTGTATGGGACTCTCATTAATGTCTGAGCACATGGAACAAAGAGAATGTATGTCCCTTTGTGTTGTAAGTTACCAGAAAGTTAGGCAGCCTGCTTCCCATAGACATGTTGTTGTCTCCCTAAAGAAAGCGATTGTCATTATCATTAAGTTTTAGAGGAAAAAAATCTCTCTCTCTCTCTCTCTCTCAATATTCTTTTTGTAGCTCTTTCTGATAATAAATAGATGTGGTACTGTTAAGCGAACTTTATTCTGATTTTCCCCTACCCAAGAGGCTCTTTGACATTGAGGAAAAAAGATGTTGAGTTTCTATGTCTATTTTATACTATTACTTCCAGGTTCTATAGGTGATATAACAGATGCAAAAAAAAAAAATTATCCTGAAAAGATCGTGCTGCCATTTTTGATTCACTCCTTCCAAAATCGTTTCTCACAGCTGTGTGTAAAATTTGAAAACAGAGAAATGTATATAATTGTATTATTTGTTCAGCAACATTCATTTAGAACACTTTAGCATTACAGTGTATTGTGTAAGTCTTCATAAACATCTGACTTCTGGAGGTCACTCGCGTAAAATGAAATTCAAGATGGCAGCCTTTTTTGCAATTTCCTTCTGATTCTAAAAAAAAAAAATCAGATACTGAAATTCTGACCAACTTAGGTACAATTTACATGATATGACTTGCATGTGTCCACTGTAAGGGGGTCAAACTTCCCTGGAGAAGAAATGTAATAATATTTCTCTTAGCTGATAGTCAGTGTCTGACGGGTTCAGTCCTATGAAATACAAGCTGAATGCAAGAGGCTTAAAAAAAAAAAAAAAAAAAAAAAAAGGAGTCAGGCATAATAAAGGTGGGAAAGGGCCTGGTGACACTGATGGTGAAAAAAGAGAACACAATAAGAGTACTTAGGAGAAGAACCCATAATGTTACCTGTGTTTCACTGGAAAAAGAAGCTCTGAATCACATTCTATTGAATGTGATTAAAACAACTAATAACAAAATCAAATGTCATTTCTTATACCTGCACTGGGAGTTCTATGAGAATGGGAAACCTGCCTTTTCAGCCTGGTCCTCCAACATCACCTGCAGTTTCTAGCACTTAGTAGTAAGCTCCCAGTGTAAATGGCTAACAGAATCAGTTGATCAATCTATGTACCAATCAATTAATCTAAATTTTTTTCTTATGTGTAGAAACTCATTCTTCAGTGATGCCGGATAAATAAGGATTTGCTCTAATGAAGCTAGTTATTAAATCGTGATAAACATAGCTTAGTAGTATTGTAGCAAATTTTCCCGGAATTTTCATAAACTACTTCATAATTCTTTATCAATCATTTATTCTAAGCTCTGATTAAGTTCTAACATAAAAATCTCCTTATAATGACCAAAACAACCACTAATATTTGGTAAGCACTTACTATGTGTCAGAGAACTGTTTTACATGCATTAGCCAATTTAATTTTCCCAGCAACCTGAGAAGTAGACGGTGTTAGTTTTCCATTATACAGAAGGAAGAAACTGAGGCACAGAAAGGTTAAGTAGCTTGCCCAAGGCCACACAGCAGGTATTATTTCCTTTCTAAAAGAGCTTTTAAAATATATATATATACCTTGTAATTTTAATATCACAGCAGTTCTAAACAAAAAATACTTAGGATGTTTATTCATCTTATAGATATTAACTTACATATTTAAAAATGAAATGTTTCAATGGTCTCATTGAATAACTAGAGACTTTTTAGACCAGTTTATTGAAAAGAACAGCCTTCCATTAGGAGAAGGGTATGAGCAGCACCCCGTTGTTACAGACATATTGTTCTCATCATGCCCTGTTGATGGATCACGGGTCTATTATGATATCGGTTCCACTTGGCCCACATTTTTATAAATGCAGCCACCTCACAGAGCACAGGCATTTCTATCATGTGGCTTGGTTTTAGGCCCAAGCCAGTAAACTTCATAATGTTTAAGTGCCTTTTTTCTATTCTATTTTAACTTTTCTAATTTACTTACTATCCAAAAATAAATGTAGAATAATAAAAGTGGAAAACAATTTTTTTTAATCCCTATGTCGATTAAAGTAGCACAAGAAATGCAGGCTTAGGACAGCCCCAGCTTTTAACACTACCTCTCTGCCATAGGGAAGAGTCAAAGCCAGCTGATGATATTAGAGACAGGCGTTGGTCTGGAAGGTGATGGATAAAATATAGCAGACACGTTTCTGGGCCTGTGCTTATTTTGTGTGCAGTGCATTCGGTTTTAAAATTTTACTGTGAATATTGTCTGCCTAAGAATGAACACAGACATGTGTGGTACAGAAGGCACTGCTCGTCTTTGGGAATCATCTATTGTAGACATGGAAATGTCTCATAAATTGGGCCTAATTTTCATCAGGCTCTTGACCAGACGTTTGTGTTCTTGTGGATGTCAGTGGGTGCAACGTGGGGGAAGAAAGAGTGCACATTTTCTCTTTCTTTTCAGTACTGTCATTTCTCACTGTAATGAGCACAAAAATAATTGGACAACTGAGCTATCAGTAAAAGGACACACTTCAGTGTGCGTCAAAGAATTATTTTACAGGACAAACTTTAATCTTTAAATGTGATTGTAGATAATTTGTGGTACCATCTGTCCATTTGGAATTGTTTTAGCCTTTTCTGTCGTTATACAGTAAGTGCTGCTGTGTTTAACATTAACATTTGATATTTTACACATTTAATTTCTGTTCTGCTGTGTGGTCCTTGGGGAATGGAGCGCTAGTGCTACATGAGAGAGACAAAGTATTGATCAGTTAACATTTCAGCTACATTTATGTATGTCGCAAAATTAATGAAAATGCCAGACAAAAATGTCAGAGTGCACAAAAAGGTAGAATTTAAATTTGGTACTTTAATGAAAAGTCTTAAGATGTGCATTATCAAAAATGTCCTCTTGCCTTTAAAGCACAATTCCTAACAGAATAACTAAAGGGAGACACATATTTTACTTAGAGGAACAATGAACATGAATTATGAAGGGATGTCAACTCCTCGAAGTACCTTGTGTTCCAAAAACGGCATGTTTGAATGTTTAACTGTTAGTCATAAAATACATTTCTTTCTATTCATATCTGGAGGGCTACTGGCTTCAGCCCTCTGTCCTGAGCAGCCTACGAGGCAGGTTTCCTACTGAGATTCTCTCCCTAGGTTTTCCTTGGTATTCATGTGTTCCTTTTGTGTCAAAACCAAGAATTCCCTCTACAGCAATTCATCGAAGCCACTCTGGTTCATTATTTGTTTTTTTGTCTGGGTCCTTTTCAAATGCCTGGTTTTCCTTTGCTTCCAGATAATTTGTGCTTCACCTTTATTCAATCCCCATTTTAGTAAAAGATCACTTTCAAGACAACAGCTACTCCCAGAAAGCTGGGCCATTATGCAGAAGAGAGAAAAAACAAAGATGATGTATGCAAAGAATGACATGAGGCAGCTCTGTATAGCCAAGTGATTTTTTAAAAAAATGGAGGAAGCACAGCAAAGGAGGAGGAACTGGACTTGCAGAGGCAATGGGAGTGTAATACAGGGACCAAAGACAATAGGCTCCTACAGACACCTTATCGTGTACTTCCTTCCTGTGCAGAAAGTCTACTGCTATTAAACAACATACAGACTTTTTAAAAGTTATTACAAGCCCTAAGAACACCTAACGTGGCTTTCATCATCAAGGATCAAAAAGGGAGAGTTGCTTAAGAAGAAATATCAATGTGAAAACAAAGGCTTGTCTACATCACCGGTAGTTTAAGTCTTAATATTCACATTAAGGCACAATGAAATGTAGGATAATTACACTGAACATAGTGACGGTCATTTTAAGTTTACAACAGAAATTTCTATTCTGAAAATTTAAGAGACAATAGTACTACCACACCAACGAATTATGGTTCAAGTCTATGGCAATTTTCAAATGATTTTTGTGGAAGAGTTTTTGTTGTTACTGCTACAGCTTTTTTTTTAGCGCTAGCAGAAATTGGAAATGTTTTAGATGTAAGTTTTGTTACTTTCTCCACAACTGCA